GATTCCGATATGGCTTCCGGTTACTCAATGAGGTTTCATTGCTCTGCCGATCTCCGCCGATTCGAGTCTTCCCGATTTGGTCCATTTCCGCCGACCCGATTGATTTTGATCGCCGATTTGGATTATCGATTCGATTATGGGCTCTCCGGGGGTAGGCGGCACGAAGAGGTGTTTGGCATTGTTTAGACGTGTGCATGGGTTCGGCGAAGGCCATCGGGGATATTCCTGAATCATCGGGGAACAATACACACGCGAATCCTAAAGAGGCACGGGGAATGGACGTCCGAGCGACGGCAAGGAGGCCGAAGCTCAGAGAGAGGGAGATCAGAGTAGAACAAGTTGCCGACACCGTTACCCTTCCCTGGTTCTCCCCCTTTTGGGCCTCCTGGGAGGCCCTCGTGTCCACCACTTGATTCGCTTCGGAGTTCCTGCTCAGAGAGCAAGCGCCCCAGGAGAGGTCTGGGGAGTATAGGTATCGGTACATGTTGGTTGGCGCGTGGATTAGCGACGGGTCCCGCTTCCATAAAACATCGGCGCGCGCTGTCGCCAAATGAGGCGGCACGGGCCTCTTTCGTCTGGGGTACCTTCCGCGATCCATGGAACTGGCGCCCACGCACCAGATCCACGTAGGAGGAGGAGGAGGAGGAGGAAGAGGAGGAAAAGGAGGAGGAGGAGAAGGAGGCGGCCCGGCTGGCCTCAACAGGCCACTTTAGCCGAGTTCGTGAGTATGGCGGGAAATTCTGCCCTATTGTTTAAAAGTCCTCTGATGTCAATCTCCGCCCCACTTTGCCTTCGCTGTTTCCGCCATAATTCTGCAGACAAATATCAGCTCCTTTCCTGAGGCGACAATATCCGCCCTTCTGGGGTACAGTCCCGACGCAATGTCAAGCCGAACAAAAATCAGCCAAGTCACGGCAGGTCCGAAGCCAGGGCAGCCAGGGCAGCCTCGGGGGGGGCCGCGCGCGCGCAGCCCGAAGCCTTATACCAGCGGGGCGCTGGCCTTTCGCCCGGTGGCGGCAGGGTCGGATCGGGGTGGGGAATTGTCCTCTGGGAGGGGGTCGGGAGTTTTGGGGCGCAGATTGACAACATCGCGCCTTCGGATGTCCGGGAACCGACCCCTACATCTGGTTCGTGCCGTGTCGACGCGGCGGCGACCCCGCCGCGGGCGTTCAAGGTTGAACGACGCCAGCGCCCCAGAAGTGGCCGACGGACGTGGAAGCATCTTTTTATCGGAAAGCCACCGATCGCTCAAGGTTGAACCATCCACGCGGTGCCAGAAACCAACGCCGAAGTCGTCACGACACGAAGTTGGGGTCCGAGCAGATGGGGTCGGAGAATCGTGCCGCATCGCCGATGCATCACCGATGCGGCACGATGTGGGGCCCGATTCTTTCCACGCCGAATGCGCCAATGCATCGCCGACGCCGCCGATGCATCGCCGATGTGGCGCAATCCTCCGATCCCCATCATGCTAGGACCCTCGTGGGAGGCTTCCAAAGGGAGTGTCGGCCCTGAGGAGAGGGACGGGCCCCGAGGGATGGGGCCCTGAGGATAGGAAGGGCTCCCATGGTGGATCTACACTGGTTGAGGCTCCTCGTCCTTGACTGCGGCCCCAGGAAAGCCCCGAATCGAAACGTTGTCGGATCGGCAATCGAAGCGAATCGGATCGACGTAAATCTGCAGCCAATGTCGGACAAATCGTGCAGCGGAAATCGGCATGCTATTAAGGCCTCCATCAAGAAACCGACGTCGGGATCGGAATCCGAAGTCGAATCGGAATAGGATTCGGAATCGATCGAAATCGAACCGAACCGAATCGAGTCGGAGGAGTCGAAATGAGCCATCAGGGGCCATCTGAGCGACGCAAAAACACCGGGGTCGTATTCGCCGACACTGGCGCGTCAGCTGCCCGCGTGAGGTCGCGCGTAGGCGCCCTCGCCTCCGTTGTGGCTTGCCGCGCTGGCGGCCCGCGTGAGCCTCCGCGTAAGGCCGCTGCGCCCTCGTGCGTGAGACCCCTTTCTGTCTGTCAGAGCCCCGAATCGTCAGGGGTAACTCGGGTCAGGGATAACTCGGGTTCGTTTTCCGGGAACCCAAACCCGAGTTACCCCGGACCCGAGTTACCCCGGATATTTCGGGCGTCCAGAGCCCCGAATCGTCAGGGATAACTCGGGTCAGGGATAACTCGGGCTCGTTTTCCGGGAACCCAAACCCGAGTTACCCCGGACCCGAGTTACCCCGGATAACTCGGGCGTCCAAGTCTGTCGCTCCTCTCGGAGCTGCCGGACCTGGCGGCTCCCGGCCGGCGCCGCCAGGGGAGCCCGCGGCGCCGGCGCCGGCGCCCCGACGGTGCCCCCCCCCGCCCCGTGCTCGCCTCTCGGCCAGCGCCGGCGGCCGCCGGCGGCGGCGACGGCGGGAGCGGCTGCGCTGGCGGCCACGGCGTGGGTCGCGGCGTCGGCGGTCGCGGCGAGGAGGTCGAGGGCGAAGGCGAGAGGGCGGGGGCGAGGGCGGCGGCGAGGGCGAGGGCGGCGATGGGATGGTGGCGACTGGGCGGCGAGGGCGGCGATGGGGTTGTGTCGACTAGACGTAAGAGTGGCCCTTCCCCGGAATGACCTTTTGGTGCGGGCTCACAGGGGTCCCCCGATCGCCGAGCGCGGTGCGATAGCAGCGCCTTGCGAGGTTGGCTCCCCCCGCGGCCCCAAAAAATCAGCGCACTGGCGGTCACTCTTATCAAGCCCCTGCAAAAGGGGGCGTTAGTAAACGGGCCGGTAGCAAAGGGTGCGTTTTCAATGGTGATTTCAAAAAAATTGATCTGCCGCGCACAAGTGCGAGGTGATCCCCCCACCCAGAGTTATAATGATGTATCGACGTTTTTGTCGTCCCGATGTATCACGCACTAGTGCGATGTAAATGCTTTGTCACCCCGTTCGCGCTTGCAGAGGCCCCTTAGCTACCACCCCGTTTACTAACGCCCCGTTTGAAAGGGCATGGGCTTACCCAGGGTCACTCTTGCGTCTAGCCGATGGTGGAGGCGCCGTCGGCGACAGGGAAGGTCAGCGCGAGGAGGAGGAGGAGGAGGAGGAGGAGGAAGAGGAGGAGGAGGAGGAGAGCGGGGAGGGCGAATGCAGGAGGGGGAGAGGGACGGGGAAAAGGGGGAGAGGGAGAGAGGAGGAGGGGCAGCTAGATTTATATGGTACTTCGGAACGTGCGCGACGACGGTGATGATAGTCGACGGGAGTTGCCGCATATATCCAGCAGGTTGGGACCATATATGACCCCAGTCCAATCGTAACATTACGGCTATGAATGCAGCAACCTGCATGTGGGCACGCACAGAGGAAGCAGACCCAGCTAGGTTTGCCAACTGCATACGTTTCAGAATTGATCAAACGTTTTCTTATTGTATATTGTGCAACACAATTGTTGACAAGTCACAGGTGCCAGACCGCCAGCGAATTCACCCAGAAGCGTTGATGTGGTGATCAATTGCTGGATGCACTAGTGATGCGGGAATTTCGACAGTTCGTTCTCAACAGCGGTCTTCTAATTGAGCAACAATAGCCATCAGCATGTGCATGCAGATCCCCTGCGCAAATGTGCTACTATGCATTTTACGCGCAGTGTGCCACAGAGTGTTGTCTAAGTCTATAAGCCAGGAGCGTTATTTGTCTGGTGGCTTTCGGTCCTTCCGTCACTGGTCCTGGGACCGACCTTTCGGCGGCTCGAGGCTCTCTTTGGACTGTCTGAGAGGCCTCTTGGGGCCCTTTTGGCCCGTCTTCGGGCCTTTTCGGGCCCGATGCAGTCATGCGGGAAGACGCCCCGGGCGCGCCGGGAGCCCTTGGGAGACTTGAGAATTTGGGGTCCTGGCCCTTTGAGATCGATTGATCATCATTGAGGACTGAGGCTCAGGGGGTTGAGCAAGGGACCTGTGCCTCGCAGGCACGGTGGCGGATCAGGAGAAGGGACGGATAATAGGGGAGGGGGGAGGGAGAAGGAGGAGGATCGGGAGGGTCAGGGAGAGGAGGGCGTGGCGTGGATGGGGTTGGGCAAGGGACTTGTGCCTCGCAGGCACGGTGGCGGATAAGGAGAAGGGGTGGATAGAGGAGAGGGGAGGGAGGAGTAGGAGGAGGATCGGGGGGGGCAGTGAGAGGGGGACGTGGCGTGGACAGTGCGCCGGGGGCCTGGCGCCAGGTGGCCGGCCGCCTACGCGGACGCGGTGTGCCAGTGGTGATGCGCGCGCACGCGCGGGCACGCCCAGAGCGGGGGTGGCGCACGCCCCGGCGCCGGTGCCGCATTGGAGGGGGGGGGGGTCACGTCACAGGGGCCAGCCAATCCCCTCTGGCCGACCCAAAGGTTTGATCCACGGGCCGGTTCCTCCTTTCCGCTCTCCGATGACCCGGGTTTGCAGGGTTCATGTCGATTCTTCTGATTCGATTCGATTCGATTTCGATGGTTTCCGATTCCGATTCGATTCGACTTAGGATTCCGGCCTACTAGCTTGCCGATTTCCGCCGATCCGATTTTTCCTGACTCGGCTGCCGATCTCTTCCGCTCCGATTTGTTTCGATTGCCGGTCCGACTTTTCGATTCGATTCTGGGCCTTCCTGGGTTCAGGAGCCAGGAAGCGGCTGGCCGGGCTTCGCGCGACGTGGCCCTGGCGGACCCGGGTGTGCGCTGACCCTGGGGCCAGCGCGTCCCCGAGAGGGGCCGAGGCTTCTCTGTGGGAGGGAGGTCCCGCGGGACCAGCGTGCTGCATCATCGGCGTCCCCCCCCGCGGTCCGAGCGAGGGGGCCGAACGGTCACACCATCCTTCGGAAGGGATTCCGAGGCCCAGATTGGTGTTTGTCGCTGTCTTTCAGAAATAGTCTGGGGACTATGTCTTGAATATTTGTTTTTTACCATGTTGAATGTTTTTTCGAATATTCTTGATTTTTCCTCCAATATCCGCCTGTATGAGGACATACCCGACCTGTCGTCCGCGACCAGGCCCGCGACCCACCCGC